GCTCATCGCCGCGCTCTGGGCGGTGGCTCTGCTCTCGCCGGGCCCTCTTCTTTCTGGTGGGGTGTCGAGCAGGACCCCCCCCGTCGACCCCGCCGCCCGAACTGAAACGGCACGCGCAGCTCACCCCTCGCCCGGCTTCCTCGCACCACGGACACCGTCGGCCCTCGGGTCCTCTGCGGCGACCACGCTGCCCCCACGGTCGGGGGCGCGAGGCGGCGGCGGCCGCCGCGCTGTTCAGCCGCGAGTGCCGGCCGAACCCCTCGCAGCTGGGCGCGCTGCGGGTCATGCTGTGGGTCACCACCGCCTACTTCTTCCTGCCCTTCCTGTGCCTCAGCGTCCTCTACGGGCTCATCGGGCGGGAGCTGTGGAGGAGCCGGGGGCCGCTGCGAGGCCCGGCGGCCTCCGGGCGGGAACGGGGCCACCGGCAGACGGTCCGAGTCCTGCGTAAGTGGCGCCACGTCTGTTCCACACACATCAACCCGCTGGTCTCCCAGCCCTTGGCGCCTCCGCTCCTGGGCCCCTGGGGCGGCCCTGAGGGTGGGCTACCAGGTCCTGTAAACAGCAGTGCTTTTCAGAGCCGCTGGGATCCGTGAGCTGCTGACCCGAGGACAGGAATTGGAGGCTCTTAGATGTCCCTGTTGGAGGCCGCAGATGGGGGTTCTCACAGTACCCTTGAGAAGACAGGGTAGATCACGTTAAGCTAAAATGTCTTTACTTAATGCTAAGTTTTCCTGAAGGTTAAAATGAACCGTGCCCATAACAATAAATAAATACGTACATAAAAGACGCGTTGCAGAATTCTTTTCAGCGGAAAGCAGAGAACGTGTCGTTGAGTGGCTGTGTGGAAGGGAGCCTGTCAGCTTAATAGAAATTGCTCCTTCTGCTTTATGTCCAGCCTTAGTAGCACATATATTAGCCAAATATGCAACTTTAAAGCAAATATAGATAGGCTGGGGACTTGGTTAGGTCAAGGTTTTATCTAATTTGTTTTTCTGTTACTTATTACTTCCGATGGTTTCTTGGGGACCCTTGTTCGTTTTTAAATGCTTTAGCTAATCTGGTGCCTGTGTCTTGTTTTGCAGTGGTGGTGGTTCTGTCATTTATAGTTTGCTGGTTGCCTTTCCACGTTGGCAGAATCATTTACATAAACACGGAAGATTCTCAGATGATGTACTTTTCTCAGTACTTTAACATTGTTGCGTTGCAACTTTTCTATCTAAGTGCATCCATTAACCCAATCCTCTACAACCTCATTTCAAAGAAGTATAGAGCCGCGGCCTGGAAGCTACTTCAAGGGAGACAGCCGGCACAGAGAGGTTTCTGTAGGAACAGGAACACAGAGGGGACCACGGGAGGAGACTCGGCTGGCTACACCGAGACCAGCACTAGCCTGCGGACGCCTGCCGCTAGCGTGGCCAAGCAAGTCGCCTCCTCCCACAGTTCTGGGACTTCGGAGAAAACAGGTCTGTAGGACCATAAGGACTGAAAGGGGAAACGACGCTGTTAGGAAGAATTAGAAAGAGCGGTGCACATTTTGTAAGTTGGCCAGTAACTTTATTAGCATAATTTTTTTTCAATCAAGATACAAAAGTGTACCAATCTTTCTAGTTTTCCTTTCACATACCTCCTCAGAGACATTCATTTTAGCCTCATGAAATTCCAATCACGAAATGTGCTCTCGGGAGGTTTGACACGTCTTCATTCTCCTGGTCTTTGGAAATATGTTTGTTCATTTTACAGTTCGTAAGATACAGAGAGATGCTGCAATAAAAATGGTTGCCTTTGAGATCAAAGGTGTATTTTGTTTTTATGCTTTGTAAATAAATGTTATGATGCATATACAAGGAACCCAGGATAATGACAGTATTGATTCAAGAAATTATTTAATGCCTATTTATGGCAGCAAAAGTTTTTAGAAGCAAGTGAAAGGAATTCTGGGCTGAGTTCAATGTTCAGAGCCCTACCTCTCTCCTGGCTCAGACCAAATCATAAAGTTGAGGCACAGTGCCTTCCTGCCGAACTACTGTGCATAAGCAACTGTTGCAACCTACTTATCAGGCCAGGAGGTAGCAAACTCAGGCAGGAAGCCTGAGGGCAAGAAGCTGCAGCAAGACCTGGCTTCCGGACAGTTATAAAGAGCTTTAATACACCTTATTTGCCTCAGGTTGGTGGCTAAGTGTTGTCGTGATTACTGCTTTAGTGGTGATAAAACTGAGTCTTAGATTTCCCAAATAGGAACTGATGGGTCTTAAGAACTCCAGTCTTTAAGATCTTTTATTTTAAAAATAAAACAATAATTTTACAACTCATTTAACAGCAGCTGGTAATCCTGAAATTAGCGGCGGTTATCTTATTGCGCTAGCGGTGCTGTCATTTCCTGAGGTTGACCAAAGTCACCTGGAGTCACGCATTTCCCACTTAAGATGCATCATATAAATCAGACTTGGTTTATCACCAGCATTTATAAAACCAGACCCAGGGAAAGAACTAGGTCTGGGCACACATGCCTGGTCTTAATATAGCGAATGTGTAGCCTGCCCTGATTATTACAAAATCAGAACAGGGAGATTATTCGCAATCTTTAAGATCTATACCCACTCCCACTCGTGAAAAACACAAGTCAGCGGATGTAGTCAAGGGTGAAGGAGAATGTGTTGGACATTCTGACCAACAACTCTGTAACCTTGTTTTATTTTTTACAGTTTATTAAAACATAAACCTGTTTCCAGAGGGCCTCACTCACATGCAGTCTGTGTGAATGGTGCCCCCTGGAGGTGGGAAGACACAACTTGCTTGGTTGTAAACTACAACCAAGTGAATCCATCAACAAGGGTCACTCAACATGCCCACAAAGTTCTGCTTTGTCACTTGATTAGCCAAGTACAGTGTTGCCTCCAAGTCCCCTTGGCTAGTGGAAGAAGCAGACAGCAGCAGTCCCTAAACTCTGTTCCGCAGATTTTCGAGGATTATTTGAAAAGTCTTTCTACTCACAGAGTTCCTGTCTGGGCAGTCAAAAGTGGCTTCTTCCCTGTGGAAGGTCACAGTTAAGAACTTTACTGATGCCCAGCTGGCATGGCTCAGTAGTTGAATGCCAACCTATGAACCAGGAGGTCAGGGTTTGATTCCCTGTCAGGGCACATGCCGGGGTTGCAGGCTCCATCTCCAGTTGGGGGCGTGCAGGAGACAGCTGATCAATGATTCTCATCATTGATATTTCTCTCTCTCCCTCTCCTTAACTCTCTGAAAACAATAAAAAATATATATTTTAAAAAGAGCCTTACTGATATTTTATTTATAGTATAATAGTTTAGGTATAGAAGTAAAGTCCTCTCCTAGGAGCTTTCTTGTTCTGATTCTAGAAAAGGATTTACATCAGACTTTCCTGTGATGTAAGAGTGTCTGCAGGTGTGGGCGTGGTGCAGGATCCTTCACTGCAGGGTCCCTGAGATGGAGTGCCTGCGCCCATCCCTCTAGCGGATCACTGTACCATTGTTTTCAAAATGCTGGTCTCACCCATTAGTGGATTGTGAAATCAGTGGAGTGGGTCACATTTTTCTTTAATGGAAAGGAGTGGGCAAGAATAGAATTGATAAATCAGCTCATCCTACACATTAAGGGTAACTGCTGTATTGTGAAACTTTTGTCCAATAATATGTTGGCTGGTGTCTTCCTGGTTCACAAAATAAAATGTTTACCTGCTGTGGGTCATGGTAAAAAATATTGGAAAAATTGTTCTAAAATCTAAAATTGTTCTCAACCCCAGCTGAGAGTGTCCTTCTCCTGTACTTACAGGAGGAGTCCTGGAAGATCCTGCATGGTAGAGAGAAGATCCACTGGAGAGGGACAGCAGGGTGTGGCTTTCCGACGTGGACCTTCCTCCCCGGGGGCCGTATCACGGAGACTCTCCCTGTACCCAGACAGAGCCCTGAACTGGCGTCCCTACAGGGAACTCTTTGAGCCTCCTCTCCTTTCTGCAAGCCACACCATTTGTGTTGGGTGAGGAACAACCTTTGGGGAAAGGTTTTTCTTTCATTCATTCAATTGGCAAATATTTACCAAACAACTGCTAAGTGCTAGATGTGTATGACAAAATACACTAGAGAAATTAGCTCATGTCATGGTGTCCAAATCAATCAACTTTTCAATGCATTTTTTGGCTATTTTATGTGATTGTGTCTTCTTGACTAACCACAGACACAGCTCTTCTATATATATATAAGGCTAAGTGGCTGACTATTTGTCCATCGGACCGACCGACTGACCAACCGGTACGTATGACGCACACTGGAAATTTAAAAATAAACGTCTTCTAATTAATTTCCTTTCAATGTGCACGAATCCATGCACTGGGCCACTAGTAGGTTAATAAAAGCACTTACCTCAGATGGGCCTGCCAAATATCAGGTTAGTGTCATCCACACAGACATTCCTCGTCTTTTCTATAGGAGACGTTTTCACTTCTGAAGGAAATGTTCAAAAAAGCTATTGCATGGCACCTCCTGGGGACCGAGAGCCCCCTGTACCGGATCCTCAAGGGCACATAAGAGCAGCATGTTGATGATGTCTGAAGTCTGAACATGGCCTCTCCTGGCCATTTCTACTCATGTGATAGTAACATTTGCCAGAATGTGGAAGCTTTTTGTGTATAAGTGATAGTGCTTGAACGGGTCAAGTGTTGTAAGTGGAGCTTTAAAACAGCTTTTCTTAAACTTAGGTGTGAGGCAATTTTTTATTGTGAGCCAATGTTCTAAAGATTCCTAACTCTAAATATTACACAGACTCTGGCAGTTCTGAGCAGCCTTCAAATACCAACATTTTTCTCCTGGGAGCACAGGAACATTTGTCATTGAGCAAGCGCGAGCTCCACGGGCATGCTTTGTGCCCCTGGCTCTCTGTAAGCTACAAGGACGTGGCAGAGACTGACTCTACTTGCCAACTTCATAGGAAAACAGCACATACCTTTTGAAGAATTATGGATTCCTGTGTAATTTTAAGGGCTAGAAAGTGCCAGCCAGACCAGGAGAATAGAGTGTGGGCTGGAATCTCTTGCATGGCACTTAGTGTATGGCAGTGGCTAGTTCCCAGGAATTGTAACTTGCTCCCTAAGGGCAGACTGGGTTTTATTCCCCCTTAGCATCTCTTGCCCAGATAGACAATGTGAGTTGAACTCAGCTGGCAGCAAGGGAGGGTACAGGAATCTGCACCCCAGCAGACTGACAGATGGAGGCTGAGCTAGCAGATGACTGGAACATCCATTCTAATCTGGCAAGCACCAGACAGGAGCAAGAAGGGCACACACAGGGAAAGGGTGCTGAAGGGAGTAGAGGAAGGCCTTGGAGAAAAAGGCAAGGGCACCTGGTATAACCAGAAGCTGGAGCTTGCAAAACACCTCACCATAGTGGGTTTGGTGGTGGTGGTTGGGGGAGGGGGGGGAGGTACAGCCTGAGCCTGGGAGGCCAGTTGGGACCAGTTATTTGCTGTAATCCAGGCACGGGGCACTCATGGGTTAGTGTGGTGACACTGGAGCAATGACACTGCCACTTTCAACACCTCCCCTCACCCAGACCTCTAGCAATGTTGCAGCCTCAGAGCAGCGAGGTCCCTTTCCCCATCCTTAATCCGCAGCCCTAGGCACTCCCACCACATCAGTACCAGGGCCAGTTGTCATCTCTTTCCTCTCGCCTCTGCAGTGAGTGTGCAAGTTCCGAAAGTGTTCTAAGAGATTCTACATTGTGATGATAGCGAGATAAAAAAATTTTAAGCAAATATGTGCTGATTTCAAGGTTATGTCTTAATGTTGCTGTAATAATTATACCTGTTTATAGCTGGAACATAGAGCCAAATGTGACCTTTGTTTCTTTCTTACTCCCACAATAATTCATTACTTGTCCTTATAGTGAATGTCAGCTCCCTTCTTCCTGGATTTCTTGAATTCTCTAGAGCAGCGATTTTCAACTGGTGTGCCGCAAGTGCTCGCACTATTTAGTCAGGGGCATTGCTCTCTTTCCCCATAGATTGTCAAATAAAAAAATGACAACAGCCACACAACAATAGCCATCTGGTGTGGACGAATCATATTATACCTATTTTTTGTCAGATCAGCAAAAATATCTTCTGGCGTGCCTCAGAATTTCAGTAATTAGTTTATGTGTGCCATGAGATGGAAAAGGTTGCACTAGAGCAGGGGTGGGCAACCCCTGGCACGCGTGCCAAACATGGCACGCCAGTAACTTTTGCTGGCACATGAAGCCCTCTCTTATAATCTTCCATTTACAATTTTTTTCTTAATATCTTTTTTATTTTTTAGATAAATTCAGTGTAGGTGCATCTTAGATAACTAAATAATTTTACATAACAAGTTATCTTAAAGACCATAGACATGGATTGATGAGAGAGGGGAAGAGCAATTTCAATAGTGCCGAAAACGAACTATTGAGGACTTGGAATGCCATTCCAGAAAATTTTTTCTGTTTAAAAAACTTTGCAACAGCATTACTCTCCATGTTTTCATCCACATACGCTTGTGAATCTTTGTTCTCAGTGATGAATTTTGTTAAGTCTCATAATAGGATTAGCCTGACGGATGAAAGTAGTAGCTTGTGCATATCTCTGAAGGTCATGAAATATAAACCTGATGTAAAATCTCTGTCATCAGTGATGCAGCAGCAAAAGTCCCACTGATAATATCAAACAGAGTCATAAAGTTTTCTGTTGGACTATCAGTGTACATGTATACATTAAAAAATAAATGTATTTTTCATCATCATATACTGTGTTTTTGTCGCTCGAATGAATTTTATTATTTCTTCAAGGTTCTTCACATACGTACACCTTAAGAGATATCAAGTAGGCATAAATGTTCTCAAAAAATTAGGGTTGGCACGCAGAAGAATTTTGAGTCAGAGATTTTGCTGGTTTTGGCACGCACTCACAAAAAGGTTGCCCACCCCTGCTCTAGAGCATGCATAAGAATCACCTAGACGGTGGGTTAAAACATAGATTGCTGGGCTCCACTGTGAAGGTGAGATGCTCTATGACATGTCTGTCCCACAAGCTGGACCCGACCCAGAATGGAGGATGCTTTCTGAAATCCCCCTTAGAGACTGCCTGATGGTAACTCATGTTCATTCTGACATAAATAAGCATTCCTCCCTGCCTTCTGCTACGTGCTGGTTCCTGGAAGAGGTGTTGTCCTGACCTGGTCAAACATGTAAAGTGATTTCTGTACCTGGTAGCATTCACATACTTGTTCCCATGACTATCCACCCCTTTACCTTTTATAATTCCCCTGCCAAGTAGCGAGGGGAACCATTTTGTAGCGCAGTCGCCCAAGACACACCTTGTATGTAAGTTTCCCTTAATAAACTCTACTAGTTACCAGACTGGACTGACCAGCCTCTTTCTTCAGTCTTTCCCTGTTCTCCACTTCCAGAGGTAGATTTTCAGTCTCAGGGTTTTCGGTGGGTCTTGCTGTATGAACATCCACCCCCTGAGTTTCTGATTCAGAGAGTCTGAGTTGGGGCCCTAGAATGTGCATTTCTCTCCAGTGTCCGGTGATGCTGATTCTGATGGTCTGGGGACGACCCTCTGAGAACCCCTACTGTAGATTGTTGCTGTAGAAAATGAGATCCCCAGACCAGTGGCATTAGCATCACCTGGGATCTTGTTAAATTGCAGATTTTCAGGTCTCACCCCAAACCTTCGGAATCAGAATCTGCATTTTAACAAGATCCCCAGGTGATTCCGACGCACATAAATATTTGATTCATTAATCTGGAGACTAGACCGGTGCCATCAGAATCTCTGGGGGTTTGACCCAGACACATTTTTTAAAAGCTCCCCAGTCTCTTTCATTCTCATTCCACCCAACTCCCCCTTCCCACCCCTTTCCTTCCTTTTCCTCTGTTTACCCCAGGATAAAGGAAGAGATACAAAGAGAGTAAACAAAGATACGAAATGTGGGTTTGGGTGGTGGATTCATGTGAAAGTCACTTATGTTCTAGCAGAAACTCATGACTGTGATCCAGTAATGACTCCCTGGCTCTTTAGCCCTTCAGTCCCCCTGATCTCCACCTGTGGGAGCAGCCAAGCCTCTGTCAGTGCTTCTCCCTGCAGGCCAGGCTGAGTCCCGTCGTCTCTGACTGCTCATTTCAACAACTAGGCCTCCACCACAGCTCCTGCTCTTCAAAACACGTTGTTTAACTTGTTCAATACCTGATTTGATTCCGTGACCTCTTCCTCATCTTCCAGGACAGACCTACTCAGCTCTTCAGGGCCCTCTTGGGTTCTATCCCTGATTCCTTGACTGCATGTCACCTGTGGGCCTGTGGGTAGCTCTGGAGCATTCCACCTGCTGCCCCAGACTCCTGCCTCGTGCTAGTTGCTGAGATCAGCCAGAGTTGCCTTTCGGGTTGTCGGACTGGTCTCCAGGTTCCGTTGAAGGGCTGCCTCCTGAGTGTTGACTCTGATAAGCCACAACAACAGCTTGCTTGTCCCCCGAAAGTCATTTTGGGTCTCTAACCTTTCAACACTGAGTCCCTAAAACTCAGAGGCTGATTGGATATGAGAGAAGAGAAAGCCGTAACTCCAGTATTTTAAGCCTATGTAACTAGGAGGACATTTGTGCTATTTGAAAGAAATAGGCTGTCCGAGGTAGCGATGATTAGCAGGGGACGATAATGAATTCTGTTTTGATTTCTCTGTTTCCAATGAAGCCATTCATTTGTTGTTGGGTTTTCCACAACCTCCTGGAAATAAGTCCCAACAGTAAATTATTTTAAGAAATGCTGCAGTGCCATGTAAACTCCTTTTGAACATAGAGCAGTGGTTCTCAACCTTGGCTGCACAGTAGAATCACCTGGGAATCTTTTTAAAATCCTGATTTCTGGGCCTCATCCTCCGGAAATTCTGTTTCTTTGTTACTAATGTTGTGGCCCCACCCAGCGGATCATCTTTTTTTTGATAAAAATCGGCTCAGATCCTATAATCAAAATATAGACAAAACTAAAAACAAACAGACACCCCCGGGAAGGCCGACCACTGGTACAAGCAGCACTCCGTT